ATAATTCCATTTGAGGGGACAGAGTATGCCCCAGTGGCTGTCTGTGCCCTGCAGAGAGTGAGTTCATTTAGATACCAGCTCTGGGTAAGTTTCCAAGAAACTCAAGAGGTGGGGGTGTACTCTTTCTAGAGCTTTCTTCCTCTTTGCCTGCATGCCAAGCCCCCAGATGGATGGCTCTGCCGGCTTCTAAAGCATGGAACTCAGTGCCTTCTGCACACGTGTGACTGTAGTGCAGAAGGGGGAGAAAAGACTACTGGAGACCAGAGTCCCTACACTGTTTAAATGCCACGTTTTCACCCATGCTTCCTATACAGCAAGCTACAGGGACCTGTCCACCCATCTAAGTAAGGGAGGTTTTGACCAAGCTGTAGCATCCTGCCTCTCTTTCCCTGGCCCTCCCCCACCCCCCTTGCACCTGCAGCCCTCCTCCCCATCCATTTCCCCAGAAAATAAATCTCTGGGAGGAGGCCAGGAGAGTGGATCGCAAAGAGCCCTTCTGAATAAATGTCTATATTAATGAATTATTAACTCAGCCACCCGTGACCTTAAACCTAGAAGCAGGCTCGCCGAGGGCAGAGAGGAGCGCTGCTGAATCCTTTATCGGAGTCCTGTCAAAGGCAGCGGACCATTTGTTCCCCTCCCCCATCAGGAAAAAATAATTAATATGAAAGGCAAACTTTTTAATTCTGTGTCAAACGAAATCAGACAGAGGCTCCCCCAGACAGAATCCCCTCCTTGTTCTCCTGCCCTTTCTGCCGCTCCTCCTCCCCTCTGGCCTCACTGCTCTCTTCTTCCCCTGGGAGGGAGCTCAGGGTGCAAAGAGCTTCCTGGGGATAATTTTAGAGGGGGAAAAAATTGCTTGCGAAAATGATGAATTTGGGTGGTTAATTTATCGATCCTGGCTCTTCTTCCCACTTGTTTTATTTTCGAGGTCATTAATCAATGAAGAAAAACACTACCGTGTCCCACTGTTTGCATTTAATACACTCACGCTTCTTATTTATTCCTCAGGAACAAATTCCCAGCAAATATTCACCCATCGATTTGGGAGCGATGGGTTTTTATAAAGGTTTGATCGCTTCCCAAGTAGTCGAAGTGATTTGT